AGGATAATAGATGCATTGAGTTGCGAATTAAACAGACAGAGATAAGTGTTACATGCATTAGTGATAGCTAGAGAGTACTAAAGACATCACAATAGATACAATATATATGTACTGTGGTCATACATATAAATCAGACATTTAACTTGCAATAAGACGCTATAAGCTGAAGAGACTGCGTTAGAGCCATTTTAAGTAGCAGGTATTTCAAGGAACTGGTTTCTCCACCTAATTAGGACTAGCGGATGATCAATTTCTTCTCCTCCAAAGAGCACATGTCACTGAGAACTTCGGCAATTTTGGCGTCCCTAAGGCAATCAAAGTACACAAAATCTGACTCTGTTATGGCATCCGCAGCAGAAGGATTATAATGACGCACATTCAGATATTCCAAGAGTTCCCCAAGCCCCTTGTAGTTTGCACCAATATGGTTCCCAGATGGTGGGTGCGCAATTTTGCTTGAAATAGGCTCACACACATCGCAACGCCCTGCGTATTGATAAAAGGAGATTAAGACATGCATGAGGCAGGCCTAGCAATGATCTCAAATCTGCTATAATCGATTCATTTAAGGAGATCAATCCAAAAGATTTATTCCACCAAGTTTAGAAGACAGAAATGCACTTACCAAGGTATGGATGATCTGGACTGTAATGAGGTAGTGGGCAACAAAATGAAGTTTTTGATTGCTTTCGACTAGATTTACTATAAACCTTGACGAACTGCACACCAGATTCAACCTGGCGACTTTTTCTAGTGCATGGTTGAGTAACCAAACTCACAGATGTGTTAGGTCCCGATCGTTTGGCCTGAAAGCTTGACTCCCAAACTTCAGCGAAGAAGAGCATACGTGCGGAAGAAACATCATCATAATACACCAAGAAATTAACATGGTAGAATTTTGAATGCCCGTGGTCGCCTTTCTTCACACCACATATGACATCAAGTCTCGGAACAGGTTCCTACAACAATCAATTTGAGCCAAGTGACGCAGCGTAAGGTTATATTCAAGAAATAGAATGTCCTCCTCAAGCAAGCACCTTTTTGCAGGGAACAAATATATTCAAAAACGGTTTCTGAACTATTATATATAAAAACTAGACTAATGGAGATGAAATATATTCCTACAAGAAGCAATTCAAAGCTTTTCAATGAACAGGTTTTGTCCAAGCTTAATTTAGATGAAACAAGTGCAAGAAAAATTTCTAGGTACAGAATTTTCCAAGCTTAGATGGAATGGAATATATATTCCAAAGAGAAGCAGTTGTCACAAACTTCCCTAAGAACAAATTTTGTCCAAGCTTAATTAAGATAAACATACGTTCCTGGAAGAACCCCCCACCACCAAATAGATTTTGTGCAAACTAGTACAACAAGCAATTAAGAGATGAATTTATAATTACCCAAGGATGCTGATTCGAGTAGTCAAGCAGCAATTGCTCTAAAATTTGACCAAGGAACTTCTGCTTCTGCGCGAATTCGTCCTTCCTAGATGCCAGCATCATCCAGGCCTGTGGGCATAGCCTAGGTTGAATATCTGATGGTGCAGTAGATGGGCTTTGACCTTCCATTATTTTGTACACTTGCTCCAGAACAGCATCAGAAATGACATAGCCTTTTCCAGTTGCTTCACCAGTCAGCAGGGTGTCTTGGGGTGGCATGGAGGTAAGAAATGATGCAAGCTCCAAATGGTAGGGGTGCTTTCCAGCTTGGCCTGCAGCAACATAGGCTTTATAGCACACCTCCTTGGTTGCCCTTTGTAACACCACAGATAGGTCACATTGCTTGTAGCAAAGGTATTCCAGGGCCATGTGCTCTGAAAAACCACTGGCTGTGCAGATCATGGCCAGAAGGCTATCAAGGGAGCGGGCCTCCATGCGAAGCATAGATTGGCTGTCAAGAATGTCCGGCTCAGTTACGGTGTCTATCTCCAGCAGAGGGTATACACTGTCGTACCATATGGCATTGCGAATTATGTTAGACACAGGGTCCAACGGGCCATAGCAATGCCCAGCAACAAGGATACCACGGAGATGCTTGTGGAGCGCATTGTGCGGCAGCAAAGACACTGCCTTGATATAAAGAGCGTGGATGGTATCGGTGAGGCACATCTTCAGATACCTGGTGTGCTCACACTGGCACGCAGTGGTGGAAGGTGCAGCAATAAGATTCCTTCCTATGTGTTGAGGAGTGTACTTGACAATAGTGGTGGCAGCAGCATTCAAAGAGTCCAGTAACATTTTCTTCATCATTTCAGGAGCCCTCAAGTCACAGATGCTCGAAATATGTCCATCAGAGCGTGAGACAACTACGTCGGCGACATAGTTTTCACCCAATGGACAGAAGTAGTGGCCAGGGCGCTTATCTGAATCTAGTAACAGGCCTCCTAATTCCAGTCCAGATAAATCCATACCAGTGGAATAAGGGCGGCTTTGGAATGTGACTTGGACGGCAGGGGAGGCTGCATAGTGTTGCAACCGAAGGAAATTTAGGATGCCATTGATGTCGCTGACACTGAGAGAGACCCCCTTCTTCAGCACAGCAGCGAGAACAGTGTGATCTTTTAATGGGACAAGAAACTTTGCGAGCCGCACCAGATCGTCTGGCACGGGGTGCCCTGATATGAATGCGGCTACTTTGAGAGCAAATTGGGTCCTGCCGCAGCAGAGATCAGGGGAACCAGTGGCGGGACGGTCCTCCGGAGCGAACTGCTGGTTCTCGCCGAGCTGGACAGCGGCGGCGAGGTCGGCACCAGCCAGGCGGAGGTAGAGCATGGCCTGCTCCATGGATAGAGCATGGCCTGCTCCATGGATAGATACCGGAAGTAGATCCGCATGAATGCAATCAGGCCATTGTAGGAACGAAATGATATAAGAACAAACGAAGGCTCGGTAGGCGGCCCCTTCTCCTTCTCCTCTTTCCCCTTGCTGATGTTGACTTGAGCTGCGCAAGGTCGCCTCCCCTTGATGTTCCTGCTGCCCCCGCCGCACTTGCGATGGCACAGATGATTGAGGGCGTTGAAAATGATGTTGGACACCGGATCGAGTAGGCCGATGCAGTGGCCACCGCGGATGACGCAGGACAAAATCTCGGGCATGTCAGCGATGGGAAGCCTGCTGAGCGCTTCCTTATAGAATTGCATTAAATCCAATTCCATCGGATTCCCCAACTCAGCGCGGATGGAAGCCTCCCCATCGGCGCCGGCGTCGTGGAAGCAAGACAACCGAACCTTCTTCGGGAGCTCCTCGCCGACTGTGAGAGACATCAGGCCAGAAGTAATTGCCCTTGACACTAGGTGTGTCGACGGCGATCCTACGTCGGCTCACTGCACGATTCACCCGCTCTTCGCCCGATAGGGTTCCCCTGCGGCGGCGGCGGCGGCGGCGGCGGCTAGGGCCGTGGTCCCGTGGGGAGGGTGAGAATGCCGAACAGATTGGGGATTGGGATCCATCGACTCCAGTGCCTTCATGCGGTCTTCTACCTGGGTTGGGCCGCTCCTCGTGGGCCGTGGCTGAGCTGCTAATCTTCGCATCGTTATCGTTTTTGAGGAAAAAAAATAAATCAGATGCGGTCCCTGAACTTGTCTTGCTGTCTCCCTTTGGTCATGGATGTTAGAAATACCCTGAAATACGGTCACTCTACTTTTTTTCTGCGGATAATACGGTCACTCTACTTGCATACGTAGCTCACTACGGTCAGTCGTATGAAATTCTCTATGTATTTGTGTGTGTTGACATCCGGTGGGTAACACTTGGGCTTTGATTGCGGGCACTGCGTGGCATTGACTGCTAAGGGCCTCTTCGGAGACTCTTCTGCTCCCTAAGTCCGTTTTAGGAGTTGGTGGAGCTGTAGCTAAAAACGACGGAGCAGGAAAAAGAAAGCTTCACAAATTCTTAAATTTCAGGGAGCCAAAGGACTGCCGAACAGCTCCTAAGTTTGGACCGTAGACAGTCAGGTTGGGCGTTCGGGTTACCCAAGTGATTCAGGTTTTTAAAATTTTGGGTTTTCAGAACTAACACCCGAAATGTGCACACACACACAAAAAGAGAAACCCAAAAATTTGAGTTTGGGTTCGGGATTTCCCAATTTGTCCGAATAGACAAGTTGTTGTCCTCTTCTTAGCAGATAAGGGCAGCGCAGCAGGCTACGTGAGAAGCCAAGGATGGGGTCGCCAGTGGAGATCGTGTGCGTTTTCATCTGCTAGGGGAAGCAAAGGAAGGGTTGCCGTCGGAGAGGGTCACGGCGGTGACGACCGGAGTCGGCGACGACGACATCTGCAGTATTCATGAAGGTTTGCGCTTGCGTCGCCAACAATATGTAGAAGTAGACAAGCGGGAGGGGTGCTGGTGCGACTGTAAGGGCATATTTATCCCTAAGTGTTTTGGTGATTGATGACAACGCATTTGTGGACTAATCGTGTGCCTTGAGTATTCCAGACACTTCATTGCTAGGCACAAGACGATTGGGTGCCCCTCGAACACTGATGAAGACGGCGTCTTTTCTACGTTTCTTTTTGGTGGATTTGAGTCGTAGGAAAGCCATACTATTAAGAGGGGGTCCGCGTTGGAAAGGTTTGGATGGAATCATCACGTACACGTCTCCTTCTTGTCCCCTCCTTTTTTCCTTGGAGCTTCCTCCGTTTTCTTGCCTCCCTTGTCTGGCTGCTGTGGTTGGTTGCGATAGTACTGCTCCCAGAAAAACGGTAGTACCGTAGGCATCCGCGGTAGTACTGCGCGGTGGCGCGGTAGTACCGCAGGTGCCCACGGTAGTACCGCTTCCCTGGAGCCGCACTACCGCTGCCCACCAGGCTAGTGTCGCCCCTTTGCGGTAGTAGCGGCGGATGTAATTTTTTACGTCTGCACCTACCGCGGTGTAGCGACCCGACCCGAATGGATCAAGTCTCTGTGCTTAAGTGTCATCCCTGGATCGGTATGCTGACACACACAGTACTCGAGGATTTATAATAGAGATAAATCACATGTATAAGTAACGTAAAATACTATTACCTTAATCCAAATAGCAGAAGTAACAAGGTTGTGGATTCCCATCAACACCAACGGCAAAGTTGAGTGTAGAAATCGTAACCCTACTGCAAAAAGCCAATTTTTCCCTACTGCAAAAAAATAGATTTTGTTTAACTATCATGGTGGTTGTTGAACATTGAGAATGGTTGACAGCATTCTCAATCCCAATTAAGTAACATCATTAAACCCAACAATATTCATATAAAGTAACATGATGAGATCAATAGGATAATCCAGGTACTAGATACTCAAGTTGTCCATAACCGGGGACACGGCTAATCATGATTAGTTTATACACTCTGCAGAGGTTTGCGCACTTTTCCCCACAAGGCCCGATCACCTCCGTTGGATTTCTCGCACTACAAGGTGTTTGAGAAACGGATGACCGAGACATAGTCTTTCAGAAGCGTTTGCACCTTACGATGGGTAAACCGTTCCACCTACAACCCCCACATCTGCTAGTCTACCACTATAAGAGTTCACACGACTTAATCAACTATGCTAGAGCCCATAATAGCTTGTGGCTGCACACGAAAGTTTCTAGCATGAATAATCTTATGATCCCTTTGAGTCTGGGTGGCGGTCCATAAAAAAACAGGCAATCCTGGTCTACCCAGGTGCCTAGACAGGCAATCCTGAAATAACCCGGTGCCTCAATCCACCCAGATGTGTGTTTAAGTTGCCACCTTAGATAAACCATTAATTAACAATCTCGCGTCTGTCATGAATACTCTCAAAACCCAATCCACGTCTACGAGCATAGCATGACAATGTAAGCATAACGTAAAAGTAACTCTCAAGGTTTGAATGCAGGGCAATAGGTTCCTACCTCATCAACTACTTCCCAATACCCACATGTTATTAATCCTACTCATGCAATGTTTGAGGGTTGTAACTAATGCATAAAAACTGGGTCATACTCCGGTCAATCTATCGTAAGTAAGCAATAGTAACCATACATAAGCAATCACTCAAAAGATCAGAAAGATCGAAGAAGTCGATTCGGAAAACATCAAAACCAAGAAAATAGCTCTTGCAACATAAAACAATTTCTAACAGTACCAAAATTATATGAATTTGGCCTTATCAGAAAGTTTAGGTCAAGAGCTTCGATTTGCAAAAAGAATCAACTCAAACGGAGCTACGAAACTCAAGTTATGTTCAAAAGAAGTTTGAATATAAATCTGAACAAAATTCGAAATTTGAAAATTTCAAAAACATGTTTGGGTTGGATTACTGGATAGAGGGGATCATAACGAAGAAGTGGGCGTTGGTTTCGTTGGATTTGGACAAACGAGTAAAAAGTTATGGCTATTTAAAAAAATCAGGGCCAAACTGTTTTACGGAAGAAGGAAAAAATAGATACAGACTAGGGTCTAATGTATAAATACGTAGACTAATTGATAATCTAATTATTTTATCGTATTAGTCTAAAAAATAATAAATTATGAAAGTATAAGAAGAAAAAAACAAAGAGAGATACCTTTATAAGGCAGACAAAAGATGACTTTGGAGAGAAGAGAAAATTTTTAGAAATCGCGCCGGAGAGAAGAAATATATTTTTCTTAAATGAATCTAGCCAAATCAAAATATTGATTTACCCGAATCGGATGAAAAGAGATTTAGAGGTCAAATGCTAGGCAATGTGGGACTAAATGTAGACGAAAATATACGAAACAGAGAAAAAAAAAGACGAATGGG